CCCCCACTGCAGGGGGCCGTGTTCCCCCTCATGGTGGGGGGAGCTTAGATCCCATATGATAGTTTTGCTAGGATAGTTAAACTCTTTTTTATTTATGATTTTCCTATGGATATGTCCCACTATTATTTCGTTTGAATTTTCTTCCTTGTTTGACATTTGAAGTTTGATATCTTGAATTATTTATTTTGACATTGTCAAGAGTTTTTATGCGTTGCTTACATGTATTTACATTTAGCATTGTCGCGATGTACTTGAGGAGAGGATCAGTCTCCCAAGGTTTTGATCAACGGACATGCCCTTTGTTCGGACCGCGTGGGTCTTTCGGGGGGGGGGGGGGGGCGTGGCGGTGGACGGCGATGTCGCCGGAAGGGAGAGCGGCACAAGGAAGACGAAAGCGGTGAAAAGCAAGGGGGAGTGGCGGTGGGCGGTGGTGGCGGTGTGGGTATAGAGATATGGAAGAGAACGAGAGAAACGGAACAAGAGGAACGACTGGGTTAAATTGTAGGGTTAGAGAACATATTGAATTAAAACTAAAATGGCAAAACATGTACTTCCAGTTGCCCAGGGGGTCTCACAAATTAAGTTCAAAATTTGGGTTTTTGACTAGGGCGGAAAAATCTATTGGACCTCCTCATATATATTTTCAAAACTAGGGGGTATCACTCATCATCCAACAAATCTAGTGCCTTATGTGTGACATTGCATATCAAACCTTGAAAAATCGGATACGCTGCTTTGTGCTTTCTGATTGTGCTGGATTTAGAAAACTTTGTCTCAATCCTGATTAGTTGAAGCTCAACCCCCGAATCAAGCTGATATTGTACAGTGTTAACAGCTCCTGTAGAAGCACTAATCTATCCCTTGGACGAACTGTGAGCACTCTCCACTCTATTCGTAATCATCAACAATTGCAGCATATAACTAAAACATCAACAATATATTATAAAATGTAGAACTAAAAACCGGAAATACCTGTTAGTCGACTTGTTCCCAAAATGTAATGTTTTATTAGTCCATGCATTGACAAAATTTTCCCTGTAAATCAACCAAGTCTCGTTGAGGTATGCTATTAGTTTGGGATAACAACCATATCGTCTAACCATTTGGTCGTTATTTTTTAGTACTTTGCTTACTTTTGTTGATTCCACTAGCTTTGCCCAATGTCCGCGTCGAAATAAAACCCCGTGTTTACTATTGCCTATAAACTTCGACTCTTTTTTTTCGACATTTCTGTTTATGTGAAACAGACACACGAAATGTACGGAACATGGAAATATATCAGGCAGTGCTTTCAAGAGTCTCAATTCCCTATCTGTCAACATTAAATCATGTTCCAGACCTCCCAATGTACATCTCAGACAACTCAGAGCCCAAGCATAGGTGTATGCATCTTCATGCGACATGAAAGCAACATCAATTGTGAAATTGAAACCAACAGAAGTGGCATTGTCAAATATTTTGTACGTCAAAATCTAAATATCAAATGCAATCAGATTACAATAACTAAACACAAAACAAATAAAAAAAAATTACATACCTGTTGGTTTTATAAGTGCAGTCCATCAATATAACATGAGGAAATAATCGCAAAAGTTTCATTGAAATAGGAGCGGCAAACATCAAAGCAGTCAGTGTATCACTGGCTACAGTACTTCGATGCCAGTATTCATATCTACTTTGTTGAAGGCTATGCATCACGTGTTGTATCACTGTCTTCCCCTCCATATTCTCTTTTTTTCATTTTCTCAAGTTGGTTGTAGACATGTTTGACGGAGGTTGTTGTCCGTGGATTATCCTTTCTCAATCTATCCATAATTAATGACGGTTTCACGTAACTCCTCTCAGTAATTTCACTACCTCGTACTGTTCTGCTGTCAAACGACTATTCGAACCTTGTCTTGTAGGATAAGTATCGTCTTGTGAGTGTGTATGCTATTTTTCAACGTCATTTGCCACAGTCCATCATATCGGGTTCTGCTACCGTATAAGCGAAACGTACATCTACATTTCTTTGTTTCCACATTTCGGGGCTTCTCCAGGTTGGTTCATTTTTACCATCCACACCCATACAAATGGCATATAATTACTACATAAACCTTATTCTCGCTTGAAGCTACCATCAATCGATGACCATAAGTAGCATCAGTATTTTTGGCCCAAACGACTAATGATTTGCTTGTTTCAAAAGCAATATTCTACATTGAAATAATGACTGTGATCTTCAGATGTGGACATGTTTTGAGGAACATCATAACATATATTGGGATTCTCAACTTGATTCTTATTTTCATCCTCAAGTTCATCATCAAATTTGTCTTTATTACCCTACCAGAGTATAAAAATAATAATTAGTATTTTAATACAAAAAAAATATATTTAAAAAAAAAAGTAGGTATGTTCCGTTCTTCGTTATTTACATAACGAAAACCCAGAGGTTTCGTTATTTACAAAACAAACCTTATAATATTTTTGGGTTTTCGTTTATAAAGGAACGAAACCCAACACCCCCCCCCCTCCAGTTTTGATGTTTCGTATGTAAAATAACGAAACCCCCATATTTTTTTGCTATAGTGCTCGTTTTACCTTGTAATCGTAATTCAGTTGGTCATTGAAGTTGTTGTTGTTCAGCAGTAAAATTTTGTGAAACGAGCTTCAGATTCAAAGATTTACAGAATTTTGTTTAGAGAGTTTCGACTTTGTTAGAGAGTTTGAAAAGTGAGAAATGAGAGTAATCGTTGTGTTTAACTCAAATTCAGTAAAGCCCCGCTGCAATTAGCATTTGAGATTGGCATTACAGTGGGGAAAAAATACCATTTAATTAAGGGAAAATTACACATAAAAAAAAAAAAAAAAAAAAAAAAGGCCACGTGCAGGCCTAGTCACCCACGCCTTTGAATCCCCATTCTTTCAGTTATTTTCTTTTCCATTTAGTGCCACCCAAAACTCTGTAGTTTCAATTTGCAGAGTGAAAAAATAGTCGGTGATCTGAGTTGGGCTCTCTCTCATGGCTCAGTGCAGCTTCTACTCTGCTCTCTCATCTCAACTTCCTCGGATCCCAATCCCAAATCTCTCCTTATATTCTTCCCTTAAATCGGACTCCCAAATACCCGATCTGAGTAAGCGGGCCGCCGTAATCAGACCCGCCATCGAAACCCCGATCACCGCCGCCGCCGCGGACGGAACCAAAGTGTTCGTGGTGTCGGATTTGCACACGGACTACCCGGAAAACATGTCCTGGGTCAAGTCCTTACCCCGTCGCACCCACGACAATGACGTGCTCGTTGTCGCCGGTGACGTGGCCGAGACCTCCGCCAATTTCGTTCAAACCATGTCCTTTTTGAAGGATAAGTTTCGCCATGTCTTCTTCGTGCCCGGCAATCACGACCTTTGGCTCCGGCGAGAGGAAACTCCCTTCGTAAGCATTAGGCACCATTAATTACCCCTTTGCCCCTGCCTTCGATTTCGTTGTTTTTTTTTTTTGCAATCGGTAAAATTGAGTGACAAAAAAATTCTCTCTTCTCAGATTGATTTTCTTATTTATGCAATTTCAGTTGGATTCTGTTGATAAGCTGGAGAAATTGCTCGACGAATGTCGAAAAATCGGAGTAATTACTAAGCCCACCATTGTTGGTGGTTTGGGAATCATCCCATTATACTCTTGGTATCATGAGGTATTTTATTTATTTATTTATTTGATGTTTTATCAGTATGAATTAGGGTTTAATTTATTGATTCTGAATCACTTACATTAACTGGCTTTGTTTCAGAGCTTCGATGCGGAAAAGGACATAACCGAATTCCGTATTCCGTCATTGGAGATGGTGATTAACTTTCTTTATCCTTGTAAGGACTTCATATCTCGGTCTCATTGGAATCGCTCGTTACCGAAATGTCAAATTATTGATTGAGTTTGTGCCTATTTGTTGCAAATGTGTTCTTTGTTACATTATTCCGAACACTTGGTCTCGGTTTTGTTTTAATTATACGTTAAAACGAGCCTACTAAATAGGTAAAGGGACACATTGGTGTATTGACTTCTCGTTCCGTATATTTAAAATTTTAAAAATAATTAACATTAGTACCTCTCCACCAAATAATATGACACTGATTGTTGCACTGTAGGCCTGTAAGGACTTCCATGTATGCAGATGGCCCGATGGACTGCAAAATCGAGATAATTCTCTTGCTCTGTATTTTGATTCTTTGAATGACGAAAATTGGGAAACAGTTGAAGATATCCTGACTAGATGCAGCCACATTATTTCGTTTTCTCACTTTGTTCCAAGGTTGGTTAATAGTTTTTTTTTTCTTCACGATCTTTCTAAAATCTAGCAGAAACTTCGATAGTTAAATGACAGCTTTGCCCTTATCTTTTTTAGTAGATCCCCAGAAATTTGACCGGGGCAACATTATGTGTTATTGTTGTGCATCGAGCTAGCAGGATATTATTGTTGTGTGAAGTTTATTGACATCAATATACATGGATTTTCTCTCTTATTTTCTATTTGAAAAAAAAAAGTATTATATGAAACATCCGGTTCTTTATCCGTTCCTGTTAAATCTGATAGGGCAAATTACGGCCACCCCTGAGGTATGGTCAAATTACAAAATACCCCCTCTTGTTTGGGTAATTACAGCCGCCCCTCCTTTTAAATATTTTTACATAAAATTTATGTAATTCGGTTATTTACTGAACCAAATCATATCATATATTCAGTTCGGTAAACGGTATGAAATGTTGGCGTACCGAAAATTCGGTTCGGTTTTATCGATTTAACATCTCTAAATTTACCTCTGGAGGGGTATTTTTGTAAGATAACACATAGTTGAGGGGTGGCTGTAATTTGACCATAACTCAGGGAGGTGGCCTTAATTGCCCAATCTGATAACTGGTTTTCTCAAGAGCCTATTTAGAGAGGAAATGTTTTTTCTATATATATATATATATATATATATATATATATATATATATATATATATATATATATATATATATATATATATATATTTGATTTATAAGAGTATTAAGTCGGTATCTATTATTATTTTTCCAGAAAATAAAAAAGATTTAAGATTTAGTTGAAAGCATCTTGTCGTGCATGGTGCTGCAATCTTGATGCCGTCTACGAATAATAGATATACTTACGGTTTGCCCGAAGAAAATACCGATCACCTGTTATTGCATGTACTGTCTGGTATATCTAAAAAAAGAAGAGAGACAACTTGAATACTTAAATGCCTATCGTTTCTGCAAAAACTTACAATGGTATAATATATCTTGTAAACAGGAAACTAACAGACAGTACATTGTAATCTCTTTTTCTGCAGGCAAGAGTTGTGCCCAGAAAAAAGAATGCTCTACTATCCCAACCTTCCAAAAATAATCGGCTCCAATTATCTCGAGACACGAATAAGAGCTATACATGGAGCTGAAGGTGGGCCATCCGCATGCCATGTTTTTGGTCACACGCATTTTTGTTGGGATGCTATAATCGATGGTATCAGGTATTAATTGATCGACTGTAATTAATGGAAACAATTTAACTATTCGAAATACTTTTGGGTTAATATTTTGCATTCTTTAAAACAAAATGCAGGTATGTGCAAGCACCATTAGCTTACCCCAGAGAAAGAAGAAGAAGAATGAATGGAGGCGAAAACTGGCTGCCGTTTTGCATTTACTATGGAAATTTTGAGGGGAGGCTTTCACCGTGCTATTGGTCGGATTATTACTCTGTCAATCCTAGGACGCCAGATAATACTCAGCTCGCACCGTGGGTAGCTAGGTTTTACACGAAAAAAGAGCTTGATTCGTGATATTGTATTAACTTCTGAAATTTCGAAAAAAAAAATAAAAAAATCATATGGTTGTCATGAATTATTGCTTCTTGGCGTAAAATGTACTCCTGTCTCTTTCAAATTTTGTACTCCTTCATATTCAAATTTTGTGTAGTTTAAGATTTGGTCACATGTATTAAGAAAGTTAATAAATATGTATGGATTTCGTGAAACAATATGACTAAAATATATATACTCCTATCTAATTATCTCCATTCATTAGTTAATTTGTTCGTGAGAGTCGTGTTTGAAATAATTTATGAGTAAAAAGGGCAAAATTAATAAAAAAACGTGCTGTAATTTGAAGTGACATATAACATGAAATACACACACATATATATATTTTCAATTTGAAAATGATGGGTATATATATGACTGAATTAGGTGGTAAAAACTCACTGAATCTTTAAAGGGCCTATTGCAGATACACCCCTTGTTGCATCTTCCCTCTTCGGAAATTAGATGCTACACCTGGTTATTTACACTAAGTGGATTTGAATTGTAAATCTACACATAATCACACACACCCATGTGCATGTGTCTTAGTGAGTAGTTATTTAATCAAATCTACGGTTCAAATCCACCATGTGTAAATAACCAGGTGCAACATCTAACTTCCCATGTAATAATCTTTTGCTTTCCACTAAACCCAACATATTTTCTGTAATTGAGATACCCCTCAGGCCTCATGTTACATACTTCAAGACTGCCCTTATATTTTACTATTTCCACACTTAGTAATTCTTTTAATTTATCATTTATTTAAAAAAAAAATCATACTTTTTTCCGACAGATTTGGTCGACTACTGAAATCGTAGTTGATTGGCATAGTCGACTACTAAAATAAAGGAGCTGAACAAGCGCACGAGACCCAATTGCACATAGTACTACTCGTACAATGTAGGATTTAGAGAATTATACATGGGGAAATGAAAATGATTGGGCGAATATGAAAAGATTCACAAACAACATATGTATAACAAATTGATTTTCATATTACTGAAATTTAAAAAGAACGACCAACCCTCGTTAGGAGAGTTGGTACCTAGTCTTACAAATAAAATAAAAGGTTTAGGGTTCGAGTCCCCCTCCCCTACTTCTCCACTTGAATTACTTAAAAAAAAGAAAAATTCAAAAAGAACGACTTTACGATGCATATAAATGAAGATCTAAATGGTTGATTAATCAATATAAAAAAAACAGTTAAATTAATCCACCAAACAAGACTTGCTCTATTAAAGGAGAAACAAGAAGAAGAAGAGAACCGGCAATATAGATATCGATGATTGTCCGAGAGATGTTCCGTGTGAGCGGCACCGTGGTACTCCCGGTGGAGTCAAGTAGTACCATGGGTAATATGGTAATATAGGGTTTGGAGGAGGTGGAGCATTTGCATCCCCGTTAAGGCTCGTCGGTGGTGGAGCCGGCAATACCGAACATGTTACTGGTGGTGGTGGCGTTGGTTGTAGTGGTTGCAGCGGTGGCGGCTGATTGAAGACTGTTGAAGGGGCAGGAGGCGGCGGGGGTGGATTGTTACCTGGCGGTGGCGGCGGTGGTGGTCGCGGTTGAGGCGGAGGTGGTGGGCAGTCTGTGGAAGGGGCCGCGGGAGGCGGCGGTGGCGGCGGAGATGGTGGTTTATTGCAACAAGTGTAAGAGGGCTTGAACAGTTGTAATATGAAAACGATGAGAAGAAGAACGGAAGCCATTAGGGTTTGTAGTAAGGTTTAACACACACACATATATACACGCATTTATAATTTATTATATTGGACAATATTACCAATTTATTCAGTATATAAATATTGCAATTTCCATGCAAGGACTGGATATTACTTGGAGAAGATTGAATCAGTAGATCTTTTCTAATTTTCCTTTACGATTTCGAGTAATAATTATACTTTTAGTCCTTATACTATACATTAAAATTGATTTTAGTGTTTATCATATTTTTTCACGATTTTAGTTCTCAAACAAGTCATTTTTTTTCTATTTTGGTCCACCGTCTGAAATGAGGGTTAGTTTGCACGGAGAAAGTATGAGAGTAAGATGCTACATCAGATTATTTATCTGGGTGATTTTTAACCATTGATGGGTTTAAATAATCATGCACCAACAAAGCACAAATGCATATGGGAGTCTATGTGATTATGTATAGATCGACGGTCAAAAATTACCCGATATAACATCTAATAACCTGAGAAGCACTTGTAGGGGGGCACATGAGCATGCTGAAATAACGCAGTGCGAACGTTGTCCCTTGCGAGCGATATCCGAAGAGACTCAGAAGACAAGTCACAACATATTTGGTCCTCTAATGAAGTCGCAGTGATGTATTAGGTCCTAAGGACTAATGATCTACAACTATAATAATAGAATATTTACTCGATTATTGAGAACCACTTAGAGATTTTAGGACGAGGGAGTTCAGTGAATTCATCAATTATGAACACTCACTTAAGCATGTCTCTACATTATAGCTGATAAGACACTAAGTCCCGGTATTACATGGGAAATACCATTTAATTAATTATTGTCGTAACTCATCGATTATGAACTTATTTAATAATTACTATACTTAATAAATTATCTCATGATTCTCCTAGATCAATTCATAGTAATTATAAGGTCTATATCTATGCATAAATAAATGGGACAAAAATATAGCTTGTCAAAAACAAACTTTCATTAATTACGAAATATATTGCTATTGCAACTATAAATGGAGAGACCACAATCACAAATTAGCTTGTTGATCGCCTACTCTAACAACAAATACATGATTATTTTGAAGAAGCAGACCTCCCTCGCTCGAAATGGATGGCTCATCTTGCGATAGCGTTGGGATATGAGATTTTCGACTTTAGCCTTGGAAATGAAGATGATCTTATTGTCTAAGCATTTTCATGAGTTTTTCTTAGGTCCAACTTCAGTGGATCATATTTGTATATATTTTGATAGGATTTTTAAATCCTAAAACTATATTTGTAATTTTTTTCAAAATTAATTATTGTTATTAAACTTTCTATCTCCTAAATTTCAGTTTTGTTCTTTTTTTTTTAAATGACTTTCATAGCAAATCAGTTAGCAAAATCCCCATCCACTCAAATATTTTTTTTTTACTTATCATGAGAGTGGAGCATAATCTTTCTAGCCCACACACACTAATATGGATTTTTTTCATTTAATTGTTTTTTCATGTCTGATTTAATTTTTTTGTTATCTTGAGATAAAAAAAATTATAATTAATTATTTTAACATTGTGTAATTTATTTTTCTAATAAAACTTAATATATTTAAATATTCATCCTTTTTTGCAACGTTACAGTGGAATTGTTAGTATATATAAAAGAAAGAAACAATAGGGCAACCCCTAAACAACTCTACTAATTTTCTAATTTTTTAAGGGGTTTTTGTGCACAAGTTCCTGACCAACCATCTTTTATTATTCTAGGTTTAGGGGCTATATCTCTTTCGTCAATAAGCACATCTCTTTAATATTTATTATAAATAAAGGAAAAATTAATGTATATGAAAAAATTACCCCCAAACCCTTTACACCCAATTCTTAATTGTAACCTCAATTTAATCAATTTTGACTTTTTTTTTAAAACATTTTTTTTGCCGCCGGTTTCCGGACTTTTCGATTTTTTTTTTCTGGTCTGTTTTTTCCGCCGCCAGTTTTCGGCGTTCACTTTTTCGACTTTTTTTTTTACTCCCGCCGCTAAACGTTGACCGTAATTGTGCTGTCATTAACAGATTGAATTATACTGTCACTGACAATAAATTAACGTAACTATACTGTCAACAGTACATTAACGTAATTGTACTGATACATTTATGTAATTGTACAGCCGTTGACAGTACAATTAGATGCCTCTATCCCCAAGAAATATTTGAGTTTGCCAAGATCTCTGAGTTTGAATTTGGAACTGAGAAGGGAGGTCAGTTGGTTGATGAGCTCGAGATTGCGACCTGCAAGAATGACATCATCAACATAGATTAGTATTGCAATAAAAGAATCACCTTTACCTTTGGTAAATAGTGTGTAGTCGGCTTTGGATTGAGTGAATCCAAAGTGAGAGATAGCATGTGTAAGCTTGGAATTCCATTTTCTAAATGCCTATTTTAGGCCACAGAGGGATTTGTTTAGCTTGCAAACCAGGGTGGAGGAGGATTGTTTATGAGGTATATAACCAAGATGAAGAGTCATGTAAACTTCTTAAAAAAGATCGCCATTAAGAAAGACATTACTGATACCCAATTGTTGTAAGTGCCATTTGTTGGCAGAAGCAAGAGCTAATAGAGTTTTGACTGTGACAAGCTTGGCTACTGGACTAAAGGTGCACGTATCGTACAAGTAATATAGTGGACTAATAGAGCCAAAAACTTGTTGGCCGAAAACCTACACGCAAGTGCACGTATCATACAAGTAATATAGTGGACTAAAAGTCCGGATACGAACCCACAGGGAATATTTAATTATCTAATCCTAGACGTTAAATTCTATCAATTATTATCAAGCCCACCCTACACAGTCGAATTTTAGGGAGAATTAACTAAATTAAACTAAATTAAAAAGCAAGCAAAAACAAGAAAGCAATTAAAAACGAAGATTTAATCAAAGTAAACAAGCCTAGGATTTTATTTTTCCCCCTATGTGATTATTACTCCCCCAATTCCTTCAATTATGCAAGCAATTAACCCGGATTATTAACCTGAGATGCTAAAATAATCATAACCCGCTTCCGCGTGTATTACGATTCTAATACTCTAGATTCAATTACTATATTCCTATGCAATTAATTCTACAACACAACATTAAGCACAAATCTCAATAATGGCTACCTAAGAGATTAACTATATTCCTATGTTAATACCACAAAGGCTCTTCTACCACAGTTCTAATTATTAACCCGATCTTCCGATTCATGCGATTAACAATAACATAAAAGCACATAAGTTGATCAAGTTCATGCACTTAATAAAACAAGTAGAAGAAATAACCCGGAATTAAAACTTGCATAAAATCATAGAATTGGGTTCATAAATCCCACATAGGGTTCCAAATAAAATCCTAGAAATAAAGACTTAGCTACTCGTAATTCTTATGATAAATAAAATAAAATAAATAAATTAAATAAGAAAAACTATGCTTGAATCTTCGTTGATCTTCTTTGCTCTTGAATTTGCGTCCCAAGATGGATCCCCAATTGTGTGCTTGGCTTGGTCTTATATAGGGTGAAGAACTTGGGAAGAAGGCAGTTTCCTTGTGCAATTAAAATTCCTTTACTGCGCAGCTTCGGAGTCTCGGACGGGGGTCTCACAATTTGCACTAAAACTGGGACGGGGTCCGAGCCTTAAATCTTCAGAATTTTGATATTTTCACTTTTGACCCATATTTTCGCCAAAATTGCAGTTTTGACCCCATACTTTTCCAATTCTTCAATTTGTACCTAAAATACAATAAATCAACTTTTTAAGCACCAATTATCGTTAAAACACATCAAAAGCTCAAATAAAAAGATACGATAAAGTGTGAAAATATACACTTAACAATATAATCCATCCCTTCTTGTTGAGTATAGCCCTTGGCAACCAGCCTAGCCTTATGTATCTCAATGCTACCTTATGAATGTCTTTTAACTTTGTAAACCCACTTGCAACCAATAGGTTGTTTACGAGGGGGAAGATGAACAACTGTCCAAGTGTTGTTTGATTCCAATGCATGGATTTCATCTTGCATAGTTGTCTGCAATGCCAAAGATTTAACAGCAGTATGATAGAACTTGCGTTCTATCTTATAAAAAATATTGAAGATAAAATTCTTAAAGGAATCATAAATTTTATCATAAGAATTGTGGTAGAAATAGGATATTTACTAGTAGATGAAGTAGAGGCATTTACAGTGATAAGAAATAAGGTATCCTGGCTTTTTGATAGGTCTATTTGATCTTCTTTGAACTGTCTGATCAACCTGTTTCTCATTAAATTGTATTGCAGTAAGTACCTGAAATGAATTGACTGAACATGGAGCTAAAAAATTCATTGGAGTTGCAAGATGCTCCTCAAGAACCTCTAGATAATCAGTATGTGAAACATAAGGAGCTTTTGGTAAAAAAATATCAGGAAATGGATCATAAAATTCCTCTGAAGAACAATTAACTTCTGTAAATGGAAAGACAGATTCATGAAATATAACATCTCTATATATATTAATCTCTCTAGTTTGAATTTCATATAGTTTATAACCTTTAATGCCAACTGGATAACCAACAAAAAGCCAAACACTTACTCTAGGTTCAAATATAGTTCTGGCAGCTGGTAATGTAGATGTGAAGGACAAACAACCAAAAACCTTTAATTAATTATAATCAGGAATGCTGCCAAATAGTCTGTTAAAAGGAGTCTCATTATGTAATAAAGGGGAAGAGGTTCTATTAATAAGATAAGCAGAAGTTAACACACATTCAGTCCATAGCTGAATGAAAAATTTAGAATAACGAAGAGAGCTCTAGCAACATTTAACAAATGTTGGTGCATTCTCTCTACGACAGAGTTTTGTTGAGGTGTTTGAACACAAGAAAATTGGTGTAACACACCGAAACCTTCAAAGAATGTAATGTAAAAGATATCTCAGGTGCATTGTCAGATCTGAGTAACTCTGATGGTTTTGCCAATTATGTTATAATCATTTGGAAAAACTTTG